GCCGCTGGGAGGGAAGGAGAGGGCGGGGGCGGAGAGGAGCCGAGGCCGCGAGACGCGGCGAGCCGGGCCTCGCAGAGGCTGCGGGGGCCGACCCGGTCCACAGCCTCCCCCCCCTCCCCCGAGATGGCCCTCGAGATGCCAACCCTTGGATTCGCGGCCGCCCCTCCCGCCCGGGCCGCTGCACTCCGGCTCCCTTGGGGCTCAGACAGAGTCTGGAGCGACTGAAGTTGGGCTCCAGGGACGCACAGCCAATCAGGGAGGGCGGCCGAGGGAAGCTGGGCATGGATGCGAGCCTCTTTTTCCTCCTTCGCCCAAATCCGCTCCAGCTGGTCCGGCTGGGCCCTTGCCCTAGAGGCCTGGATGGTGGGTTGGGGGAAAGCATCGCCCAAGCGGGGGAGGCAATCGGGAAATGTTCTTCCTCACTCTACCTCCCCACCTTCCGAAAATCCCTCCACGTCGGCGGGTCCCCTCCCCCATCCCTTGCAAACTCTGCTTGGGGCGCGGGTGGTGAAACCTGGGGGAGGGAGACTTCGGACTTGGGAAGAGCCACGTCTCTGTCCTCTCCTAATCCTCCCCCCAACCCCGCTTCCAATGCCTCGTGGGAGGAGGGGGGCGCCGGGATCGCTTCGCCAGGGTCGGCCTTCCCCGCCCCAGGGTGCCTTGGCCCCGCTTCAGGCAGGTACCGATGGCCCCCGCATGTCGTGTCACTTGTTGCCTCAGGCCCCCTCGCCGCATACCCGCCCGGCTCCGTGGAGAGAGCGGTTCTGCGGCAGAGGCCCTGAGGGCGCAGTGCCCGCATCCTCCCTCCGGCCTCCCCTTTACCCCTCAAGGAGGACCCGCTAGAGGGAGGGAGCCCTGGCCCGCTCCCTGGCCTCGTCAAGTTGCCCGGGGAAAGGGCTGGCGGGGCCGGGGCTTCGGGATCACGGCAGGGACTGGGCGGGGCACTCGTGGTTCGGGAAGTGGTGTCGGGACCCGCACACTGCGCGGTCCAGAGGGTGGAGGGGAACAACTGTGACCTGGTGGGGACCCGTGTCTAGAACAAGTTTCCAGGGTGAGGGGTGGCGGATACAGAAGAGGAGGAGGGAAGGTGAAGAAGCAAAGGGATGAAGAGGGAAAAAGAATCTCCAGGAGGGACGGGGAAGAGGATGAGGAGGGAGGGGAGTGTGACAGGCCCGCGAAGAAGGGTAAGCGAGCGGGACGCGGAGGGAAAGCAGGCCCAGAGGAGTTAACGGAAAAAGAGGCTGAAGAAAGAAGAGAAAGCCTCGGACGGTGCGCAAATCTGGAGGGACTGGAGAGCCCGGAGAGGAGAGGGGGACCTAACCCCGCCCTCGGGCTCCCGGCCTCGCGTCCCGGGGGCCGCGAGCGCGCCCAGCTTCCCGGGGATCCGCGCGGCGCGGGGGCGGCGGGCGGGGCGAGGCTCCCGGGTCCCACCCCCTGCCCCTCCGCCCGCGTTCTTCTCGGCGACTCAGGGATCCCCGCGGCGCCGGGGGCCGTCTCCAGCCCGCGTCCCGCGCGGGGAGGATGCATCCTTCGCGCTCCGTGTGGCCGTGGCCTTTAAACTGCCCGGTCCTCGCCTGGGAGAGAGGGCGCTAAGTTTTCAGCTGTGGGGTTCCCTTGCTCTTCTGCTCCCCACCTAAAGGCCTCCAAGGTGACAGGCCTCTGGGCACTCAATACTGCACACCCCCGCCGCGCACACGCCCCGGGCCAGGGAATCGCGAGACCAAAGAGGCCGAGCGCATTTCCCGAGCGCGCGGGAGAGTCCGAAGGGGTGCCTGCCGCTTCTACCTCCGCGGGTTGGTCCTTGACCGTTTCCACACTCTGCCTTGCTTCCTCGCTCAACATTTTTGGTCCTGTTTTTCATCTGTCACTTCTGTCTGCTCTAAACCCTAAGACTTTGAATATGCCCCAGGCCACCTCGGAAAGTCCCCGAGGCTACCTCCTAAAGTCTCCACACACCCCGCCACGATATAGTGTGGGGGGATATAGCAAGGGCGATGGGATGCTCTGACCCCGCCGTTTCCGCTTATAAATGAAGTTACACCGGAGAGAAGGGAAGAAGGTCCCACTCTCCCTCAGAGATACTTGGATTTTGCTCTTGTTTGGCTACTAACTGTTGTCTGAATTTTCCCATCCTATCCACGTGGACTTAAAGGGAACGTGAAGCCGTCGTCAATCTAATTCCACGTACACAAACATGTTCAGGATCTGTGGTGGTGAGGACATCTCTTGATCCATGAGGAAAGTGTCATTATTTCCATTTTGGAGGCACATCCAAGGATGAGTCTGGTCACTTGTGATCTGACACTAGCTGGAATTTGCCCTCTGCTTTCTGTTCAAAATTCCTCAAATGACAACTGGTTTTTGTGTTTTTTAGACCGTCCCTTTCACGAATGATAGTATCAGCAGATTTTAAAAAGTAAATTGACAATTGCTTGGTAGATTTCCACTGACGCTGCACACCTAAATCAGGGGGAACCCAGTGTAGAGCAGAAGTCAATATTCCCTTGCACAACCCAGCAGTTCCACACCTAGGATTCTACTCGAGAGAACTGAAAATATATATCTGCACAAAGATAGGTACCTGAATGTTTACAGCAGTATTATTCGTTGTAGCCAAGATCTGGAAACAATCCAAATGCCCAGCAACTGGTGACCGGATAGATAAAATGTGGTATATCCATATAATGGAATAGTGTTCAACATTGAAAAGAAATGAAATACTGATGCATGTCACATCATGAATGAACTTTAAAAACGTGCTAAAAGCCAGATGCAAAAGCCACATATTGTATGATTCCATTTATATAAAATGTCCAGAAAAGGCAAATTTATAGAGACAGAAAGCAGACCAGTGGTTGTCCTGGCTAAGGGTATAAATAGTAATTGACTGGAAATGGGCATGAGGGAACTTCGTTGGGTGATGAAAATATTCTAAAATTGAATAACGATGATGGTTACACAAATCTATACATTTACTAAAAATCATTGAATTGTAACCAAAAAAAAAAGGCAAAAACAATTTCCTTTCACACCTTTATTCCCAGAGTATCTGTGACCTGCTGTTGAGCCCCAGAGGGGAAACTTTTTACAAGGCAATTTTAGAGAGAGAAAAATGTAAAAAAAAAAAAGAGTTCTAGTTCTTATGGAAAGATAACCATATTTCTATTCAGCAAGTTCTATTTTGGCGACGACTTTGGAGAGTCTTATAAGTGTTAAAGCAAGTTAATTCCCCCCTTTCACTCTTCTAAGTGATTAATTCCTGGGAACTAGAGTTAGGTATTCCAGTTCGTGACATTTTAAACACACCTACACATAGACACAGTACAAAGTGCACATTTCATAGGGAAGTTTTTATGACTATGTTAGGATCTGTCTTAGAAATCCATATCAGGCACTCGGGTGGAGTATTGTGTGATTACAGTTTAGATTAAAAAAGGAAAAGAGGAAAAAAAAAAAAAAAAGAACCCACTGACAGCTTAAATTAAAAGATTCAGTTCATCCAGGCAGCCAAAAGTTTGGGTGTTTATCTTAACTTGCCTCACCTTTCCTTCACCTTGTTCTTCTTCAAAGGAGGAAGCCAGGGTTCACGGTTGCTCTGGAGCCAGGATTAAACAGTCCCCTCTGCTTCCTGCCTCTTCCCATCCAGACAGAGATGAGGCCCAAATGGGCCTTTTCTTGTCTTTGTCCTTGTCAGCACGAGGCTGATAATTTCCTGTTGGTTCCTCCATCAAAGGTACCAGGCTCTGTCCCTTTGATGCGCCTGTCCTCAGGCTCTGAAGATAGCCAGGCCCTGCTGAGTCAGTTCCTTGTTTCCACTTAGAAGCCCCAGGCTCCCCCAGGCCTTCTCAAAGCTTCCTGCTCTGGAGGCATCCTTTGGTCCACTGTGGAAAAAGCGAGGCAAGATCGAAACAGGGAGATGTTTTATCACATTGCAGTGGGCTCCTATTGTGCCTTCCCAAGGCAGAGGGCGAACGTGGAGAAAGATGGCACAGGGATGCCATTTCTGATCCAGACATTTCAGATGGAGATCCCCACAGCTGAGGCTGCACGGAAAAGTGAGAAGACCACAGGTCTTTGACCTGGGTTTGATTCCTGGTTCTGCCACTTACTAGATGTATGACTTTGGCAAAGACTTTATCTCCATGAGATTCAGTTTCTAGTTCTGTATAATAGGGCTTATTATCTGTGCCTAGACTGTTTCAGGGGTTAAATGTACCCACATACCTAAAGCAGTAAGCACTCCGCTTAGAGCAGAGGCTCAATAAATGAAAGTTATTACTATTATTAATTATGAGATCTGATTATTATCATACCTCAAATCACCTGAGCAAAAAAGGTCAAGTTACAATTATGAATTATAATAATGATGGAGATTAACCTTATCTTAACTGCTATTAGTAATAAAACTTCTGGTCAAGAATATTATGGCAGTTCAAATTTACTGACACTGTAAGACCTGTCCGGGGTCATATAGAATTAGATGTGCCAACCTTGGGGGCAGGGGCTCTAGATTCATGTCCTAAATCTGCCACAAATTCATTGAGTCACCTTGGATAAGTCATTCCCTTTCTCTGAGCCTCAATTCCCCTAGCTGTAAATGAGAGCTGCTCAAGATAAACTCTGGAGAGGATCCTTCCAGAGCTGAAAATTTGGGGTTAAGTCCTACTTTTTGTTAAAATCAAAGCGTCTCAGAGAGGCAATTCCCCTTTCCGCCACCAGGAGCAGTCAGCCAATCATCTCAGGCTGAGCCCTGACTCCAGGCATGCCCTGTCTCTGAAACATAATCTCTTCAACTCTTATCAGTAGTATTTCTCTGTCTTTTCCCCTCACCTAGATTCTTAAGTTTCCCAAAGGCAAGGATGATACTCTTCTGGTTTATGTCTGTATCCCTAGCACC